ACCATGCCGGGTCGGGTCAAGTACATACCAAATAAAGTTATGGACTTAGACACTATATCCAACATTAACATCTGTTGGACACATAAAGCGTTAAACTTTCCTTCCGTGCATGGTCTTTTAGGGCTAAAAAGACCATAAACTTGCTCATATGCTTGCATGGGGCTTCCATGGTCATAAAGTTTGCACCTTTATGCCATGGAACCCTTTCTAGATCCTAGATCTGAGATATAAGTCACTTGGGACGTCCCAACCCCAAGGACCAAGGTTCTTGACCCAAAACTTTCATAATATGGAGATAACTAGATCTAAGAGAAGAATGATCAAATTGGAAGCATGATTACCAGAATATGCAGTAAATGAAGTGTAGCTCATGGATCTACTTCTTCCCCTTTAGTCTTCAATCTTCTACTTCTTCTAAAAGCTTCACGATGCACAAAAACACTCAAAAATGGCAAGAACTAGCTCAAGATCACTTATGACGGATTAGGGTTTCGATAATAGGGTTTGGAGGTGATGAAGGCTGGGGTGGAGGCCAGATATGATGCTTAAATAGGGTGCAAACCCTGAAAATTAGGGGTTCCTCCTGATGGACCTACTCACCGAGTCCAGGCTCGGACTCATCGAGTAGGCCATTTAAATCCTGCGACCAAGCTGGCACCTACTCGACGAGTTAGGGCTACCAACTCGTCGAGTAGCTCTTACAAAATGAATACTTTAATAATTTAAATGCATACCAGGAACGGGGCGTTACAGAAATTCCTTTGGGGAGGTGTTGACAATAAAAGGAAGATTCATTAGGTTTCCTAGGATTTGGTGACAAATCCTAAACATAAAGGAGGTCTTGGTGTTGGAAGCCTTAGTTCTATAAACATTGCTCTCCTTGGAAAATGGTGATAGCATTTAAAAGTTGAATCTAGCTCGCTTTATAATTATTGTATTAAGGCTCTACACAATACAAAATGTATTGATAGGAAGCCTATTTTGCTAACCATAGTATCCCAGGTACTTGGTTATCTATTTATCGAATAAATGAAGATCTTGGAGAATGGGATTTATCTCTTGATGACTTATTTTTGGAGGATTTGGGAGACGGAAAACATACTCAGTTTTGGAAAGATGGGTGGTGTGATGATGTTATTTTAAAAGATTCTTTTCCAAAGTTATATAAGCTTGAGGTGGACAAAAATAAGGTTTCGGAGAGGCTTTTCGGTGATCAGTGACTGTTTTTCAAGGGATGTGGCAAAGAAATATGAGAAGAGGAATGGAGGCATTGGAGCTGGAAAATTTGGAAAGGTCTGTCGCTACTTTCAATCTGCCCATTGCTACATATACATGGCAATGGAGGGCTGATGTGTCGGGGATTTTTTCATTCCGTTCATTGCGGCTTTTAATGACTAAAAAGTTGGAAGATGTTTGCTTGTTGCGTGGTTTTAAAGTGGTTAGTTGGGTGCCGATCAAGATTAATTGTTTTGTTTGGCAGTTGATCCTCAACAAGGTTATGGTCTCTATCAACTTGGTGACCAGAGGTATTGTTCTTCACTCTCTACCGGGTGGTGTGGCTTTCTTTCCTCTATTCCTGGCAATATAGAGTTTCTTACTATCTTGAAGACCTCGATCCAAAGTAAGAAAATGAGACACCTAAGGTTGGCTCTATTGTATTCGGTGGTGTGGACTATTTGGAATTCTCGTAATGCATTGGTTTTCAACAACAATAGATGTTCTTCCTTAAAGGCGGCGGATGATATTCAGTTAGTTGCGTTTAACTAGATTAAACATTGATCTTTTAAAAGTATTTGTTGGTTTAATTGGTGTAGTTCTTCTTACAATACTTATAACTTATAATGTTTTTGTTTGTATATTTTCGCTAGCGTCTTGCTAGTGTTTTAATGCATTCGCCATTCATCAAAAAAAAAAAAAAAAAAAAAAACTCATGAATGCTTATTAGTAATTATGGCCACTAAATTTGATTCGTATTTTAATATTGCCTAACAACATATATAATATTTTATGATTATTTTTTTATTATCTATTTGTGCATTTTTTCATACTTTTAAAACCTTGATCAAGATTCAATGAAAAAAAAAAAAAAAAAAAAGTCAGGCTCTTACAAACGACTTGTATTGTATGTAGAGGTGGCAAAAACTAACACGACGCACTAACCCAACACAAAATAAACGAGTATGGTTAAGATATCTCAACCCGTTTTAATTAAACGGTTTCACTAAACAAAACACAAAAATTAAACATGTAAAGTTATGATTGAGAATTTCAATTCAAATATTACTCGAAAATAATCCGTTTATTTATATAAAAGTTTTTTGTAATCTTTAGGTAAACTAGAAAGATCCAACATCAAAACTATATGTAAAAAAAAAATTTGGTTCATAGTCATTTGGTAATGTGTAAATGACTTATCCGTATAGGTTAACACTTCATTTTTTATTTTTTTTTATTTCCTCCCAAACTACAAAGTCACCTCCACCCCTCCTTTCTCCTCAAGATCCCACCCTCCGACTCCCGAACTCCTATTTCCATTTTACCTTCTAAACTTACTATGGATTTAACCATTCCGCCTCCCAACTACTACTTTTTTTTCCTTTCCCCTTACACTCTTTCAACATGTTTATTGTTTCTACTTCATATCACGACATATTTCAATAAGACACGAAAATAAACGGGTTGTCGATTATGGTCAAACTCTCTCAACCCGTTTACTATTTCAATACGACACAAACCCAACACAACACATTTGTCAGGTCTAATTGTATGGATATATATCTCCAAAAGGTGTTAAATTAAACAAAACAAACCAGTTTCACTTCTCATTGTTAAAACCAAAAACAACATGATACATAAAATTTAATGGATTATATTTCGATTAGCAAAACCGAAAACCAACAAACATTAGAAAAAAACAAAACCAACATTGTAATTTTTTTTTCTGTAAACTATCCTTAACTTCCTCAAAAAAAAATAACCTCATTTCATTCCACTCTCTTCAAACATCACTTTTACGCCTCTTTTTAGCCGATTTTTTTGTTTTTGTAGACACCAAATCGTCAGTCTCCTTCTACACCCAAAAATAACAACCAATTTTGCTTACCTTTTAATTTCCAAATTTCCAAAATCATAATTCATAAGAATTAAAACAAAGTAATTTACCTTCTTTAATCTCTTCCTTTGTCTTTGTCTCCCTTTATTTTTCTTCAAATCTTGTCCTTCATTCTTCTTTGACTATAACATAATTCAAAATTTGTCAACTTTCTATAAAAGAAAACCCAAATGGGACCCACATATCAAAACAATATTCACAATAATCACATAACAAATAACAAATTACAAACCATTGCAAGAGCTAAAGTTGCAGCATGTCTTTCTTGATGAGTTTCTCCTTCTATTTCTCCATCACTATCTAGCATCATCTTAAGCCTTCCTTCCTTCAATAGTTTCACAGATCGACTATGCCTCTACATTAATAACTAAAAGATTTAAAACATTTTGTTGCATAAATTAATTAAAAAAAATGAAACATTTTTTGTTTATATTTTATAAACCTTGGATTGGAGATGAGCCTTTAATGTTTCTTCTGTTAGACAAACGATTCTTGGGCATAACTTACACTTGAAAACCGATTTACTTTTCAAGACACAATCAAGAAGATCATTTTTTATTGCCTCTTTGTTGATATTGTGTGTGTTATTCATATCCAATTTGTTTTCAGAAGACAATGGCAAGCTAATGACATCATCATTTGTGAGTAAACCTGTCATATAATTCAAAAGAATTAAATAAAGGAACAAACTTTATAACAGTTGAAATATAATTATATAAACCAAATACAAATAACTCAACCTGAAGAGTCAAGGGTAGCTTCATCTGCTGACCCATCTTCGCTTTCATATCCTAAAAAAACAAGATTTTGTATAAATTTGATGATTTACAAAATCATCAAGTGAAATATAATAATAATGTACCAGAAGATGAGGAGGAATGATGGTCTTTCTTTCTTGATTCCATGACCATGTTGTCATTATTTTCTTCTTCTTCTTCATCTGTGTCTACTGATGCTTCTGCATCCAGTTCAGATTCTGAAGATGATGAAGAATCTGAAGGGACATCTTTATCCCCATGTTCTTGCTTGTAAAACCTCCTTTTGATCATATCTTCTGCTAATCAAACTGGGCATAACAGAACAATAATCCAACAAAACAGTAAGCCACATTATATAAACTCATAAACCCACATACTTAAACATGCGTTTACACAAATGCATATACTTTTAGCCAAATGTTGAAGTTCACAGTAATTCTTTGTTGATACACATTCTAGATTAGATGATACCTCTGTGGAACTTTATACAATTAGCAATTTTTCTGTCAAATAAGCATGAAATCCATATGAATACTACAAATGAAACTCGACACTTCTGAAATCAGAAGCCAAACTCTAGTTGGTATTTTTGCTAGATTTAAAGTCATTTGAAGCAAACAACGCAGGTATGTGTTTCTAAAACTTGAGAACCACCTTCGAATCAAATAACACTTTCAGTCGGCGCCCTAGTTTACGAATATACACCTTCGAATCAAATAACAGAGGGAAATTTTCTTAAAACACGGAAAATACCTTCAAAAATAGCATTGGAATCTTATACAAGCATGTGAAATAAGAAATTGTGAACATTTTCAGTCGGTGCCCTAGTTTACGAATGAAATTCACAAAGAACAAGCTACCAACAATCAAATGAGGAAAAAAGGGGGGGAAAGATGAACTTGTTTTGCTAACTTCGGGTTGAAATGGATTCAGAAGTACTTGTGTGCGAATGTAAGGGTAGATGGCTAACCTGCGTGACGGCTGAGTGTTAAAGGAGGCGACCACCGGAGAAGGGTTTTTAGCTTCGGAGAAATATGGCAGCAGTCAAGTCACCAGAGTGATCGATGAGGCTCAATTAGGTCAAAGGAGGGTTACAACTTTTATCAGTCACCCCGCCAAACAAAAGAAAAAATGATATAGAACTAAAAATATATTTTTGTATATATATTTTTTTTGTTATCTTTTATTTTGAAATAACAAATTTAATCTATTTTTAAAATATTCTTTAATTTCACACTTATGTTGATGATCATATTTGAACGGGATAATGACTTAAAAGGGTAACGAACTTTCGACTTTGTTCACATTTAGTCACTAAACTTTTTTTCGTTATCTATTTGTCAT